CTTCTCCCTCTGCCTACCTCTACCCCTGCTTGTGCTCTCCCTTTCTCACAAATTTAAATAAATAAATAAATAAATAAATAAATAAATAAATAAATAAATTTGAAGTGAGGTCCAAGAATCTTTATTTTTTTAAAATTTTTTAAAAATATATTTATGTGAGATAGAGAGAGAGAGAGAGCATGAGCGGCAGTGGGAGGAACCTGATCTGGGATTCAATCCCAAGACCCTGGGATCATGACCTGAGCCGAAGGCGGACGCTTAACTGACTGAGCCACGCAGACGTCCCTCATCTGCCTTTCTGTAGCTCTGTTTTCAGAACTGTTCTAATTCAGTGGATCCTCACCAAGACATTAACCCACAAGGGCCCAGTCTGCTCCAAGCCTCGTGTGAGGGTCACTTCTTAACTGCTTCCAAAGGGTGCCTTCACAGCCCACGGGATTTCCGAGAGGTCATCTTGACTGGGTTACGTCACCTTCACCACAACTCACCAGCAACCAGCCCTGTCCAAACGTCACCACCACAGGTGGCCTCTGCAGTGTTTCGGTACCGCTTTCCGACAAGCATACCCAGTCTGGGGCTCAAGCTCCAGGTCCTGGTGGCACCCATACCACCTGGGCCAGGCAGGCACAGGCTTCCAGAGGCGACCCAGCAATTCTAGAGGGGGACTGTTTTCAGTTCTTTCCACGCGGCAGCGAGAGGTGCCATGGCTGGAGTGACCAGGTGCCCACCACAGCTGGCTCTGAGGGCTGCCAGTGCCCGGTGCGACTCATCCACCCACACCCCAGCTTCCTCACACCTCTGCCTCTCCCACATCCTCCGTCCGGAGGCCAGCAGGTCACATGCCCTCTCACAGGTGTCCTTAGCCCTGGCTACATGTTAGTGCCATCTGGGGAGCTTCAAAAACGAGAGAGACCCACGGAATGAGACACTCAGGGAGGTCTGGGCCCTGGTGGCTGCAAAGGCTTCCCAGGGGTTCCGGCAGGAAGCAGGGCTGAGCCTGCTGCACTAGCAGGAGCTGACGCCTGGCACCGTGCTGTCCTGCTGACCCACACTGCGTCCCTGCTGTCCCCATACAGGCTCGGCTGCGCTCTGCTGCTGTGTGTGTCCACAGGAGGGCCCCAGCAGAGGCCAGCAGACAGGCTGGGGGACCCTCAGAGCTGGGGGGGCTCCTACCCTGTCCCCTAACAAGCTGTACTGAGGTCCCCTGGTCTCCCTAATCCATGGGCTACCTTGGGGGCTCCTGGTACCATCACCATGTGGGCTATCAACGCTCAGCCCTGCTGGGGTTTGCACTGTCCTACCAGGACAGTCAGAAGCCAAGGCCAAGTTGTGTCTCTTCTCCTAGGCATCTGTAAAGGCATTCAACTAGCTCTTGCCCAGCATCCCTGAGGACAGATGGGGAGGGTTTAAATGTATTAAAAAGCACAAACCCTGTTCATACAGAACTCTAGCCCCAGACTCCATCCCCAAAACAGGTCTGTCTCACTTCAGCGTCCACTTCCTTTTGGGGAAATCACAGATTTTTTTTTTTTTTTTTAAGATTTTTTATTTATTTACTTGACAGAGAGAGACACAGCGAGAGAGGAAACATAAGCAGGGAGAGTGGGAGAGGGAGAAGCAGGCACCCCGCGGAGCAGGGAGCTGGATGCGGGGCTCAATCCCAGGACCCTGGGACCATGACCTGAGCCGAAGGCAGACGCTTAACGACTGAGCCACCCAGGCGCCCCAGATTTTTTTTTTTTTTAAACCAAAGTGAACACAGAGGACTTCCTGTTCACTCAACATCCATGATATGAACCTTGTATCATAGCAGCCCCTATTGAAAACTTGCCCTTCATGGGAGCTGCTTCCAAGGGCAGTCCGGGCCCTGGACAGAAGACTTTGGCTGCCAGATGCCTTCCTCACAGGTAGTCTGAATGATCCCCCTGGGCCACGGGGGTCGTTACTCTTATTTCTGCAACCCAGGACACGTCCTCAGTGGCGGGGGGCAGGTGGGCCAGTTCTACAAGCTGTGGTGTGAATTTCCCAGAAGTGAGGCTCTGGTCCTGTCCAGGTTGCTACAGACCTGTGAGAATTAGTGCAGGTCACTTAAGGTGTCCGTGTCTCCGTTTTCCTGACTTTATAAACAGGTGTGTGGACTAAACTAAATGGATGGAGGCTGGCTCCATTATGTCATTGTGAGGGTCAGCCAGCCAAGCCCTGCCTACCTCCTGACCTCACCTCCTTCAACAGCTTCCTTCCTCTGCTTCCCACTTCTCCTCTGGACCTGACTTTTACCTTAGCTCAGAATTTTCACTGCCCACACAGCTTCCCTAAGAAACTTTAAACTATTCATGCCTATGACTACACTGAGCTCGTGTCCCAGGTCAAATTAATACCAAGTGATGCCCCAAGTAAGAACTTTAGGGTCAGACTCGGGGGCCCAGGGCTCACTCCAAATACTGCAAGAGTCCACACTGGCAAAACGAAGTGCTAGCTTAGTAACATCCTGATTAAAACCCCATGCAAAACCAACTGCCTGGTGCAGGTTTGCCGGCCAGGGTTGTGTGGGGCCACTGACTGTGAGGTGGACACTTCACCTCCACCAGGTGAGACTGAGAAACCAGATTCCACAGCCGGACCCAACGGGGTAACTATGAGGATCAGGACAACTCAGAACCCAGCCGTTTCCCACTCTGACACATCTCCCCAAACCGATGTCCGAGGAATTGACGCTTTTAAGTCTGGGTTCCGGATGGTTGGTCACTGCTGGGCTACATTCCACGGGGGGCTTCAGCCCATTGTCCCAGCTAATCCAGAACCCCCAGCCTGCTCCAATGCAAATGTGACAGGCGAGGAGGAAAGCCTCCTTTCCTAAGCGGCACACAGGGACCTTTCTGTCACACGGCAGTTTTTCCCTCCTGGGGTCCCCATACCTCCTCAAGCATCAGTATATTCCTGGGGGGCTTTGGGAGCTGCCATTTCCCCAGAACCAGAGCAAAGTGGGAGAGGGGCCTTGCTCTCCCTTCTTCTATCAGGAATATCCAGTGGCAAAACCTCTCTGGGTCTCATTGCCTCGAAGGACTGGGCACCTGGTGGCCGAGTTAAGCCTGGTGCTTCCTGCAAAGTTATACCCAAACTGAAAGCAAATACTGGTTTCAGAGGGGGTGGGCCTGCAATCCCACAGCTACAAGAGGCTCAGGGAATGAGGGCTCATCTACAGAGCAGCTAACCAGCAGGGAGGAGGGCGGGGGAACAAGGCCCATCCAGAGCTGGCAGACAGCGGCTGGCTTATCGTGGAAAAGGGACGTGCACAGTGAAATCCAAAACCTCCTCCTCTCCATGCCAGTCGGCTTAGCAGCTACAATCCCAGCACTCTGCGAATCTAAAATCTAGTCTTTGATGCAAGAAAAAAAGGGAGCCACCCCCATCCCTGCCAAGCGGGATGAAAAAGTCCCCGTCATCCCAGATCACATCCACTTCTCACACCTCAAGGACAATACTGGTTAAAAAAAAATTCAGGGACGCCTGGGTAGCTCAGTCAGTTAAGCCTCTGCCTTCGGCTCGGGTCATGATCCCAGGGTCCTGGGATCAAGTCCCACATCGGGCTCCTTGCT